CAGTCAAAAATCGTATTAAATGGGTAAAGAGAACTGTGTTACCATATTTAACAAATTTAAGACTTCAACACGACAAAACAGTCAAAATAGTTGAAGTAATGTGGGAAGTGAAATATAATTGACTGAAAATGTTCTTTCCTTCTGGAATAAGTAACGATATATATGAGTAAATGAGTGTCATGAGGTGGTCGCTGAGGTTTACTCGGAAGTGATCAGCATTGTGATTTTATTTTTCAGGGTAGTTTGAATCTTCAGGATTCTTAGTGAGAAGGTAATATTCAAATTTTAGACTCTGGGCTTAAATAAATTACAATTGTCCCGTAAATTCGGGACCTTCAACCAAATAACGATCAAACTGAAGTTCCAAGATCCAAATATTTAATCTTACTTTTATATTGTGAAATACCAAACTGTTTTCCCACATAATAGTTAAAATAATAAGTTTTATAGCAAGCACTCAACATTTGGGTCTTCACAAGGATAAACCAAAGAGGAGATATGAAACAAAAGTTTGAGGTCGAAATTTCAAACAAAACAAGCAAAAGCTTAGATTAAAAAGATATAACAAAGCCCAGTAAAAATGGATGATGTTCACAATAATGGTTAAATATTTCGAGTTTCACCTGTAAAAATAGCTACGTACTACATTGAATAGGAATAATATATTTGTAAGATCTCAGCGAATGAATTTAAAGTAAATCCAACGTTTCACCCGGCAATCTGGTTAAAGCTTTTTCAAGGAAATATAATCAAACATCAAAATTATCGAATATAAATAGGCACATGGTTCTTCGGTTCATTGTACACTGAATAGGTCATCCAATCAGCGTTAAATGACCAAATTGCCAGGCAAACGTTGGATTTACTTCAATTTCATTCGCTGAGGTTTTACAAATATATTATCCCTATTCAATGTCTTACATCAACTCGGCGCCCAACTACTGTGAAACTAATCGCTCTAATTTAGATGAAAGTTCCTATATAACTACATACTAGTTCGTCAATATTTTTTCCTAATGTTAAGCTAGTATAAATAATTACGAGCAATAGATGTTTCTCCTTTGATTCTGGGGTTTGGTGTCATAGGAAGGACTTGAGGGAATTACATGAATCTGGCACTCCATCGGCAGATATAACACAGTAATCTGCTATAGATGAGGAATAACGATATTGATAATACTGCTTTAATTTAAGTAATATAACACTTAAAAGCCATCTACATCAAATAAATTTTGAAACTTAGACGATAAACAAAATGAATAAATACGTTACCTTATCATTTAGTTTCTGTCATTCACTAAACCATTTTCATTTTGTATTTTTTCGACAAAACATGTTTAACAGCTTTGAGGGATGACGAAGTTGGGACAGTGATTAATCGTAGAAACTGACAAAACGAAAAAGAACCCAGAGTAACAACATTAGGTTAGGTTTTCTTCTGAATAGCAAATTACTTTTCTAGATCTGTAAATCATCTATTTATATGAAAGGTAAAACCAATATTGAAAAATCCACTAATATGTATTGAATGTCAACAGTTCTCTAAATATAGGCCTGCTTTTATTTGAGGATATACATTTTCACGATAAATGTTGACAAAATATTTCCCTACATTAAGTTTCACAAATAAATCTTGTTATTGTAGTATGCTAGACTGGTAAAAAAAAACGTAATCAAGATATGCTGATGCAAAAGGCAGATAATACTAAGCAAAACCAAGTAATAATACGCAAGTCTGAAATGAAAAATGCAAACAGATAAAGGGATAAAATTAACACACCAGACTAAGCTATATGTATTTGCTGACAAAATAGTGACAAGAGTTATGAAATGAATGTTACTTGTGAGTTCCCTTCAAGTTACTACCACAAATGGAGTTCACTCGGTTATTAATATCCTCTTGCTTGTTTGGGACTGATGGCGTGAAAAGAATTATTAAGCCAAGTATAAATCCACAGAGCTTAGGGGGGGGGCGGGGAGACCATAAGAATCTTTAATCACAGGATGTTGGCAATAACGAAGAAAAAGGAACAACGTTTGGTAGTATTTATTTCAATACTAAAAGTAGTGTAGTACAATGCTTCGTTAATCTTTCACCTCGATGACTGTTGTAATACAAATGCTAACGGTGCATGAAATCAGAAGGCAAAGAGAAGCTGCAACTACAATTTATTATCAAATGACGCAGGCCAAAAAGCTACAAGCACATGAGTAAGTATCAGTGAGCAAGAGCGAGCAATTACATAGGCAAATATATAATTAAATTGCATAAGGGCTCAGAAAGACAAAGCAAAAGCTAGCAATAGGATTTGAGTGCATACATATATGGGGAGGGGGATGAGTCATCGAATGATATTTAAGCAATCAACGTTTTAGCTAGAGTCTGTCATGTGCTCTAGTGATCATAGCAGAACAAAGATATATGCAAATTGTTACTATCCCAATGACAATGCCAGTTAAGTAAGTTAACAAAAGGGCTTAAACAACATTAACTATAATCGAAATCGGGTGTGGGATAATTGCTATAGTGTATTATTCAATTAATAATATCTATTCGAAATTAATACAAAGAAACAATAGTTAATAAACATAAACACTACTACACACAGAATGTCACGAAGAATGGAAAAGATCTGGTCTCTTGATCGTGACAACAAAAATCATTAAATTTATAAGTCACAGTTGTAGTGGAGACGTATGGTCCTTTATGTCATCATTCAAAGTCATTTCAAAAGCATTATGGTTACCTTTATAGCCATTTAATACAGTTTCACTACTCTTCTTGATATTGACTCAGTTTGACCTAATCAATGCTGAATTTGGTATTACTGAATGACTATTCAGTAGTTAGATTATGTATATCTATCCTCTTCTCATTACAAGTTTTATTCTGGCCTATAAACTATTATTATAAGATTTACCCATCTTAGTTATGCCCAGTCTATTAATTACTATCTACCTTATTCACAGTCACATTTGGCTAAATCTTGTACAAATGTTATTTTCTATTTTATGGTACGATGTGGTCTGTTTGGTTTGTATATAAACCCAGTATGTTTGAAATACATGATTCATATCGCGGAGCATAAGACTGATGTTCTGGACTCAACAGGCAAGGCTAGGCAAGAATCAGGACCGATAAAGACTATAGACTGCTCGTACGGTTGATAATTCACTGTTCTCTAAATGGCGGTATCATTACGTCATAGAGACCAAAGGCCACAAGTTATATATATATATATATATATATATATATATATATATATATATAGAGAGAGAGAGAGAGAGAGAGTAACGAAGTTTCTTAAAAGTTATATTTCAATGATAGTGTGTATAAATTGACTCTTTAAAAAATCAGTAAAGGACGTTTGATTTGCAGGTCAATTTTTTAAGAGTAAGCAACATTATTCTTTCAAATGATTGATGTTTATGAAATCTTGAAAGATTAAAGAAAATACACTTTATTGGTGAAAATCCGCAATTAATCTCTTCACATTTCTATTCACAATATTTTTCTGACCATTACAAGGCAAAGATAAGTATAGTCTTTTTCCAGTTTGTTTACTCATTTGTTGGTCTACATAAAATTTTGTTTTCTACCGAAACAAATATTCAGATGATTATTGGACGAGACTATAACTTGTGGATGAACCAATCACATTTAAGAAAGAGATTTCGGATTTGGGCGCGAAATTCACTCATCCATTTAGCTAAATAGAGTTTTGGCATTATAGCTGATGTCAGTTCGTCATGAAAACCTTTAATCTAATTTCTAACAATAACCATCAACTGTGAATTATAATTCGAATCTCTCACACAGGTTTATAACCCTCATTTGGTCCTGATTATTAGGTGGACACTCTCAAGGTCAGTCTAGAGTCGCTCAAAGGTTGTCCAAAAATTATAGTCTCACCGATTATTGATATTAATAAGGCTTCCTTACCTTCTGTAAACAATTTCGTCGGTCTCACTTTGCTGTATACATATTGTTCATGTATATGTGTTCTAAAGCGATTAAGAGAATATTCTCAAAATATAACAAGATAAAAATGTAAAGCACTTAGTTAAGAAAATTTTCATGTCACTTGGATCAACAGACTAAAGTCTAAACTATCAATTTAACACGTGTAATGTTAGTAATGCTTTGATATACTGTTATGCATAGTGTAGAAAGTTTAATGATAAATGATAGTTTATGACTTCGGAATGACTTTTTGACATATGCAAAGATTGTTACATGGTAAACATCAACTTAATAATAAACTTCTTATTATTCTAGATCTGCCTACTTAACAGACATTGTAGCAATGCATGACTACACCATCAAAGATATCACAAGAGCACATATAGACAGACAGCCGTACATACAGCCTTTCTTTTTGCGTTTTTCATAGCCTAAACTTATTTTGATGGAGTTTTGTTCTCTGTACTGGATAGATCGGTCGTTCAGCTTTCATCGTTATTCTGAATGACATCATCAGTACAAACTTCAGGTAAAAGTGAATTGTTCGAATTTCTCCGCATATGGCTCACAACCTGTCCTGTGGACCTCAGTGTTAATTGGTTATTGTTGACTTTTAATTTTTCATTGTTTACTTCTTTATTTTGATTGTATCTCCTATTGATTCGATTCTTGGTCCTACATATGTTCATCATTTTTCTGATTGGTTGATAAATTGGATTGATTTCAATATGTTTGTTGATTGCTGATTGACCTGAGTGCCAAGCTTCTAAAAAAATTGTTTGGTGCTTTTATTTTATTCACACATTATTAATTATAATATCATTGTCATAACTGTAAGATCGGCATACAATAAACTCTATCAGAGCCTCCAGAGAGGCTCATAAAGAGACCAACCAATCAGCGATCAGTTAGAAGCTATGCTACTAAAAATGCTACTAAAATAACAAGGTCCTGATTGGCTGTTAACATATTGCTACTATGGAATCTCAAGGTCTTTCTAATTACTATAAAGCCCCTGTTTTTTCTGTACATAATCGAACCTTGTAGTAAAGTGATTTCTCCGTTACTCGTGTCTTCTTACTGGTCTTTCAAGTCGCTGAGTAGTGCTAGCCTGGGGTTATCCGTATAGCTTAGGATCTGAATATAGCGTTCAACCCACAAGACATATCAGTGGCGACGGGGAAAAACTACAAGACATATCACTGGCGACGAAAAAAAAAATGACAATGAGTATTTCTTTAGAGCAATTTGAAGCTTATATGGAGCGTCAAGAAAAACGGTTTGAACAGTCTCAAATCAGAGTCATGGAAGCTCTTATGCAGAAATTATGTATGTCTCAACAAAACTCTGCTGCTGGTGAATTTCAAGTATCTCATACTCACTCAGTTATTAACGCAATCCATGAATTTAATTTTGATGGTGCAGCAGGTGTCACTTTTAACTCTTGGTTTAAGAAGTATGAAGATTTGTTTCATATTGATCTCTGCAGACTGGATGACGCTTCAAAAGTCAGAATACTTCTAAGAAAGCTTGGGACAACAGAACATGAACGCTATAGTAACTTTATTCTCCCGAAGAACCCACGAGACTTTAGTTTTGATGAAACAATTCAAACCCTGTCTCAAATCTTTGGAGAACAGTCGTCTCTATTTAATATCCGTTACCAGTGCTTGAAGATAACGAAAGAATCAGGAGATGACTGGGTGAAACATGCAGGTATTGTGAACCGAGAATGCGAGAGGTTCAATTTGTCTTCCATGTCTGAAGACCAGTTTAAATGCTTAGTATTTGTCTGTAGCCTGCGTTCACCTGAGGATGCTGACATCCGAACGAGAATCCTAAGCAAACTTGAGCATTGTCCCAACATGACCCTGCAGGAAGTGACTAATGAATGTCAAAGGTTAGTGAATTTGAAGCACGATACCTCGATGGTAGAAAACACTAACCAGTTCCTCCACGTTAATGCTGTTGAGAGGAAAGTCGAGCAAGGTTCCAGTATACAGAATTATCGAAATGATTGCGGTAAACCATCATCCCCATGCTGGTTATGCGGAGGTTGGCATTTCAAAAGGTTTTGTCCGTTTAAAAGTCATCGTTGCACTACGTGTTCCAGGAAAGGACACAAAGAAAGTCATTGCAAAACCCGTAAACGTCGTCAACCTAAAGTTTATTCTAAAAGATTCAAGCCACGCACAGCCAAGGTGACGGTAGCTGCTAACAGAATCGGCTCCCATAATCGTAGAAAGTATGTTTCCCTCAAGATTAACGGGTACGATGCCCGCTTACAGCTAGACACAGCCTCCGATATAACGCTTATAAGCAGGAGGACGTGGGAGAAAATTGGGAGGCCGAGAATATTTTCAACCTATCAGACAGCACACGGCGCATCCGGGGGGATTATAAACATTGCTGGTGAGGTTCACTGTAAAATCACAGTCGCAGAGCTTACAAAGAAGGGAGTAATATTTTTGACAGAACGGCCAGCACTCGACTTATTGGGACTTGATTGGATAGAAAAGTTGAAATTATTAGATCGTCCCATAAATTCAATCTGCAACAACGGCACTATGTCGAAAGTTGGGGACCCAACATTGTTTCGTGGGGGAGGTTGAAGTCAGCAAATGCAGTCTGGATACCTACCCCGCTTCTTCAAAAAAGGGGAGGTGTAAGATCGGCATACAATAAACTCTATCAGAGCCTCCAGAGAGGCTCATAAAGAGACCAACCAATCAGCGATCAGTTAGAAGCTATGCTACTAAAAATGCTACTAAAATAACAAGGTCCTGATTGGCTGTTAACATATTGCTACTATGGAATCTCAAGGTCTTTCTAATTACTATAAAGCCCCTGTTTTTTCTGTACATAATCGAACCTTGTAGTAAAGTGATTTCTCCGTTACTCGTGTCTTCTTACTGGTCTTTCAAGTCGCTGAGTAGTGCTAGCCTGGGGTTATCCGTATAGCTTAGGATCTGAATATAGCGTTCAACCCACAAGACATATCAATAACTCTTGTAAGCGCTTGAAAAATTCATTTAGCACCTAAACCTATTCACTATTTCTAATCATTCTAGTACGTTCAGTTCAGTGTATTAAATTATTATTCACATACAAGCAAATAGAAATGATTGAATACAAATGTTCATTCACACGAAACGACCGAATAACATTAACAATTTCTAAATAGTTTTATTTTTATCAGAAGGGTTTTTTGTGGAGATTTTAGTAATTTTATATAGTTGAGACCATAAGTCAATTGAAGCTAGACCACCATAGGAAACCTGGAAGCACTGGATAACCGTTTCCTCCTATTATTAGACAATGATCTAAGATTAATAATACAATAACAACCATAATAATTATAGCTGATATATAATTACTTAAATATTCCATTCATTGTAGTCGATGGATAATTGACTGAAACTATATTTAATCGAAAAACATTGATCTGAAACTATAATACTATCGAACGGTATTCCTTATTATTTATCAGTATTGTCTTTGTTCAATATCTTAAATAAATCAGCTTTCAATAGTCAATAATGACTAAATTATTCCTATGAACTATTACCCTTGTTTGTAACGTATCACAAAAACAATTATTCTAATGACACATATCATGAAGATTAACTGCAACGAATTATCATTCGATTTCAAAAACGAATATTAAATTATAGGCAATGAATTCTTAAGTTTAAACTTTTAAGAATATTTTATCAGTTCTGTTTGGTTATACTAAATATTAGTTACTTGAAGGCACTTCAATATTAGAATTCTGTTTAAAGAACGGAAAAATAATGAAAAGACGTTAATATTTTCGAGTTTTTCTTGAAGTTATTGTTATTTTTCGATAGAAAAATTAATCAATAATTGTCTTCAATGACATCAATTTCACCATGGAACAAGAGTCGAGCGACAAGCTATCATTCTTCGATATATTAATAACCAGAACTGACACAGGTAAACTGGAGACTCAAATGTAGAGGAAGCCAACCCACACTGATCAAATTCTCAACTACAATAGCAACAACTCAAAAGCTCACAAAATCGACTATGTACAAACTTTGTTTAAGAAGGCGAGGACACACTGCAACATAATTACAGCACGGAAAAATGAAGAAAAATACCTGAAAACCATCCTTCAAAAGAACGGTTATCCAATCAATTTCATCAAAAAGTACCAGCCACACCCATCATCAGAAACGAAGTCAAGTACAGAAATCAACAAAAAGATCACCTTACCATATATAAAAGGTATATCGGAAACGACAACGAGACTGCTGAAAACCTTCGGAATAGGTGTTGCTCACAAACCAACAAAATCCCTCCATTCAACCTAATGCAAACCAAAGGATGAAATGACAAAATAAGACAAACCAAACATCATCTACAAAATAAATTGTGCCAACTGCGAAAAACACTACGTCGGACAAAGCGGACGTCCTCTTCATCTTCGCCTGTATGAACATCAATTAGCAGTCAAGGGCCATGACATATCCTTTCAAGTAAATAATTACTTGATTGAATTTCGATTGTTTATCAGTTTATAGAAAGTTTAGGCAATGATTTTTAATTTCGGTCAAGGAATAAAATCAGTTGCGAATAACCATGTAATGTAATAAATGAAAATAAAACAATAATTTATAGATGGATGAAACCCATTAAACTGAGGTTTTATGCTCGTTTACACTTGGTAGTGAGAAACATAAACAGTCGTAACCGTCACAATCAAAATAGAGATTTATTCGATTTTGAAAGTGCGTTTATAACTGTTGCGGTACAGCTTCAATAGTACAAACACTGAACTGTTTTATTGTTTGAGAAGAAATATATTCAAGTATCAGACATAATCTTATGCTTGAAGTTTATTCATCAAAATTTTTTTTAGTGATACATACCTCCATGTATCGATAGCTTGTAGTATAAAAAACAATGCATGTGCTTGCATAAAGTTTGCATCACTGACTAACACTGACCAAAATATCATTTAAAACCAAGGAAAATTCGATATATGTTTAGTTGAGATGACAACGTTACTAGCCTTCATAAACTACCCAGCTACATAGAAATAGTGTATTCATTATGAATTGCCTTTGCAATAGATTGTTGTATTTTGAATAAGAATTCGCCACCGAAGAATTTCAGTCGTAAGGCCTTTATTTCTGTAGGCAATGGATAACCATCAAGCAAAGACTGAAACTGAATTAATAAATGATTTATTTGAATAACGCTTAAATTATCATAGACATTTCATATAACATACGTTAAAATAGTTTTAACGATTTACTAATTTATACTTGTGATCTATTTTTTTTACAGTTTTGATAACGATTATGGGATAACTATGTTTCGTTTTTATTATTGGCATTTTAGACATCACATGTACAGGTACACTGAAAATGCCTACAACATTTCGGATGTTTCACACTACTGAAAATACATCAGTGAATATTCCGAGAATAAAACATCAGCATGATACCAAGATAAATACTGAGATGAATTGCTCTGTTCAGTGGTGAAGTTTGTTGAGCAATAAATCAAAAATCTGTTAATCTCTTAAATCATCATTGCTAATGTTATGCATTCCTGAATATGCACCTTTTCTATACCTAATCAATTTCTATATTTTACACGTTTTCGTACTACCTGCTATTAGTAAGTAGTTTGTCTTTTACTGCATAAATGACTGACAAAGCAGTTTCTGCATCTAAGGTCAACAATTTTATTTTACCGGTAAAATAACTATCCTAGATATCAGCACACTACCTTGTTTACACAAACACATATACCGGTATCATCTCAAATTTAACAGTTTAAGTTACTCATATTCTCTATAAAGAACCGGGATGATACATAAACAACAATTTAAGTTATTCTATATTAACGCTCATAGTTAATAATGGGCTATTGTTAACAAGAAAATAACAGTTGGGAAAAATATATAGATAAAATGCGATACGAAGAAGACATTAAACAACATTAATTGAGGCAGAAATCATCTTAAATTAAAACGTCTGTTATATTTCAAAGCATTATCAATTTGCTTAACCGAAAACCTAAAAGATATGAATACGATTGAGTCACATCCCACTATGCTCACCAATTTAAATGTGTGTTTTACCACACATACGTACGGAGGAGTAATCGTGATTACCAAATTTAGGTGTGTGAATATGTATCTAAATGGTTGCAGAAACAAATTGAAATCAAATGACCGAATAAGAGTAGGGGATAAAAACTCACCATTCTCTATTGCTAAACACATAATATAAACAGGCCATGAGATTATAAGCAAAGATCTGTATTCACTAGCAGTGAAATCGGGTACGCGCGCTTCGTCTTATTTGGGACTCATCAGGTGGATGTACGTGCAATTGAGTTGATGTTCACTTTAATTAGTATTTAATTAGTATTGTTTGTTTGAATCTTCCCATTTATGTTTAGGACTGCAACTGGTCAGTCTCTTATTCGCAACTAGGACGAAACGCTTGTCCGAGATTTCACTGCTAGCCACTATCCATCTTTGCTTACAATGCTTGTAAATTAAGGCAATATTGAGGCAATACGCACAGTATGCAGTCCCAAGCATCAATGGGAAGATTCAAATAAATAATACTAAGTGAATTTAGGCCATAAGATTGATCTTAAATCGGCTTTTGTGGTGTTGTACAAAAGTGTGATAGAGCGTATAATAAGGTTTAATTAAGCCTTAGTCATATGAAAATTCAACCCCCCTTTGTGTATTTAAAAACAGTTTGTTCTCTCCTTAAACCTACCCTGGTAATATTGGCTTATTATACAGGGTGATTAAGTTTCAAATTGTTTCCACATTATTTTTATGATTATTATCCTTTTCTCCTCTTACCCCAGCATTTCCAGTCTAGTTGACCTTATATTTTTATAAAGGAATGTTCTTTACAAGTATATGTGTGATCAGATTGTTCGAAATGTATTGCGTTAATATATTACATAATTCTGATAATCTTTGTCCTCTTATTACACTATCGAAATTTACCAAAGGGACTAATGAAATAGAAAGAATATGTTTGTAAAATCTCAGCGAATGAATTTGAAGTAAATCCAAATATATTATACCTATTTAATGTCTTACATCAACTCGGCGCTCAAATCCTGTGAAACTATTTCCTCTAATTTATACAAAACTTCTTATATAAAGGGACTAATTGCTTTAATTTATCAAAACGACTTTCAAGTAAGATTAAATTTGTTTTAATTAAATATTAAAACTAGAATTTCAATAAAAATACAGACAAATTAAAGGAGTATTTACTTTATTTTACCAATTATTTAACATTTAAAAAAGTGTTAAGATTTAGAAATGCTTGTCTGGAAACGTTTTTTGTCTCTAAAAAAATGATGTTCATGTATGTCAGTGTTCAGATTTTTATTGTTATCATAACAGCCTAAAATATAGAAAGCAAATGGTTCTGTGAGAGATATTCCGAATGCTTGAAGACAATTTTCATAGTAGGGAAGAAACTATATTTTGTTTTTTGAATTCTTTTGAAGTAGTAGATGGAAAGGCTAGTACATTAGTTATGGATTATAAATAAAATTCTCAGAAATGTAACCATCCTTATTAGCTTTAAAAAAGAAGTAATTCAGTATTACTCGTTTCTTTTTCGTAAAATAAATAGTTTCACTGTAAATTGTCTTTGACAAATTTCTAGATTTTAATATAATTGAGGAACGTTGGAAGGAATACATTAAACAGATACTAAATAATAGTTTCACTATATTGATAGTAAATATCGATCAATTCTTATATTTTTTCTTCTTACTCATGTAGTCGTAACAGTTCTAACAATTTATTGTCAGTACTTTAAACAACAAGGATATTTTGTGCAGCTTGAATGATAATGAAACTATACTTAAAAGTTCAGAATTTTCAGAAATAAAGGAATCAGTCATATTGTTTATTTTATATAGTTGAGATCATGATTCAATTGAAGCTAGACCATCATAGAAAACCTGAAAACACTGGACGGCAGTTTTGTCCTACTGCGGGATTCATCAGCAGTGCTCATCAACGAGCCTGCCTCGCGAGATTCGAACGCAGGTTAATTATTCTAATTGTTTTTTTCATCAAATCTACTGTCAGTAGAACACTTTGAATCATATTGAAGAACAAAATTTCCAAATTTCATCTCACAGTTAAATATTTGTACTTAATGAGTAGACAAATAATGTAATTCCACTAGCATATTTTACAATAAATGTATTTGTAAATGATTAGACAAAATGAATCCATTAAAACAAATTACTTGAACAATAATCTTTCAATAATTTTAAAATCAATTTCTGAGATGGTGGAGAAGATTTGTAGCTCAGGTGGATGAAGTCGATGGAGTTTTGTTCTCTGAGCTGGATGGTTTAGTCGTGGAGCTCTCATCGTCCTTCTGAACGACGTCATCAGCAAAAACGTCGGGTAGAAGTGAAGCGTTTGAATTTATCCACATGCGGAGAACGACGATGAAAGCTCCACGACCAAACCATCCAGCTCAGAGATCAAAACTCTAATAAAATCAATTTCTATTAAAATGATATGTATATTCATTTATGGCTTATCCTAATTGACTCGATAATAAAACAAAGAGCCTAGTGAAAAGATACTAAAGTGAAAATACAGTTTTGATCAAAGTTATCAACCGAAACAGATTTTAATAAATGGTCAGTTATAGTAGGTCGATTAATGTTATAACTTCATTTCATTGAAATTATGAAGAGATCTAAGACCACTATTGAAAATCTAGAAACACTATTTGTTGCAAGTATGGAAATTGTAAGCAACTCTCATCTACAACCAAGAACTCGGGAATCGAACCCGAAACCTTCGGTCTCACATGCGATTGCTTAACCTCAACGTAAAATGAAACAGAGATTGGGACTAGGTAACATGAGAAAAATGTTGGTAAATGAGAGAATTATCATCAAACTTATTAAGTAATAAAATACAACATTCTGTTTTGTTCTCAGTGCAGAATGTATCTAACTTTCGTAGTTTTAATTTCACCTAAATTCCATTATTTAAATTGATAATCTATCTTTTTTTATCGTATATTTGTAGATCTTATTTAATCTTCCACTA